AGAACAAAATTATCTCCAATCATTTTTAAAAACAACTATTAATTTTAAACGGATTGTGAAAATATAATTAAAATATAGTAGAAATACTTATTATAAACAAATTGATTATAGAAAAAAGGAAGACAAAAATAACAATTTTACAAAATTTGAAGAATTTTAAATTTTGACTTCAACAACCGCAAATGCAGAGTGAAGATTTAGATTTTTGAAAAGATTATAAATTTATTGTAAGTAATAATTTATTACGATTCCCTTTAATAAAACAATAGCTTTCAAATTAGATACTTAAGTATAATACTCAAAAACAAAGACTTTATTATCTGCACACTGATAAATCTTAATATTTTATATGGTATTGCAAATTAAAAAAATTAATTGATTCCCTAGTAGAAAATTTTACGCTTTGTCACTGATACATAGTGTTGTTAAATTGTAGGGGTTTTCGACCCAGAACTGGAGCCGAAGTGGTAGAAATCAGACCAACCCTGAACCAGGGTTGAAAAATTGACCACGACTTACCCGACTCATTGGGCTTGTTGAGCCATGGGTCGGCCAGATGGGCCGTCTTGCTGGGTACTAAATATATAAAAAATTAAAATAGTTTGTTTTAAACCAAGTTTATTTTTTTTCATATTAGAAAGATGTTCTATCTTTGGTTCTAGTAATAAATTAACACTGTAATTATATTTTATTCCAAGATATAAAAAGAATTTTTTTTAAACTTTGTTTTAAGCTTAGTTACAAGTTTTTGATTATTAAAAAGATGTTTTAAAACCTTTGGGTCTAGTATAAGTTGGCTCTGGATATTTAGCATTAGGATGGCAGAGAAAATGTTATAAAATTATCCCGATTACCTATTAAGGAAGATAAAATAAATAGAGATGTTAGACATGGATTTAGATGACATGGATTTAGATGACATGGATTTAGATGACATGATGTTGTCAAAGGATAGATTAAGACAAGATTCAAAAATCGTTTGGGAACTCAAGTGTGTAGCTTGTCAAATTCAACAATGTTGGAGTACATTTGATAAAATTCGTGAGCCCAAGCTATTAAATTATTTCTATCGCCGAAGATTGACAGAAGGAAGGGCCTTTAAAGACTTATGCCCAGTACCATTGAGCAGGGAAGAGAATTAAGTGCGGTCACTAGATTGCAAGCTAGATAAGAGGAGTGCTTTAACACAACGAGTAACTACCGGCGCGCCCCAGTTCTTCTGTTTATGGGTTGTGGGTGGATGAGAACCAATATTGATCCGTGTTTTCTAAATATTTATTGCATTAGTTAAGGAAGAGTCTTCTTTAGAATGATGGGTGTTGGTTATCTACTTTGACAACAGGCTACTCGATATGAAAGAGGTTATTGCTAAGTCGTAGGGAAATCTTATGCTAAGTCCGCCTAATTTGGTTGGGAGTGAAGCTTGGGCCCGAGCAGTTTTTTTGAATCTGAGATTTACTTATTTTTCGGTTAAGTCCTCTATTCAATTTTCGTATGCTTTGAGTGGAAAAGGATATTTAAGAATCGGTTTTGAAAGGAGTTCATAAAGAATCCTTTTAAAGATTTTAAACAAGAAAAAGGACTTGTGTGAAGGAAGAAGAGTATGTCCTCCAGTTTAAGGATGATGCCAAGAGTGGAGTGAAGAAAGGTACAAATTGCCTCATGTTCTCCTACAAAAGATCCTAGATGTGTTAATTCATCAAGTGTAGTGAATTTGAAATCATGAGTGTCAGATGCGTTTGAATTTAATTGGGCGGATTCAGATTTGCTTGGGTCAAGCGATAGTCCGATAGCTGTGTCCATTTCGTGTATTATATTAACTGCTTTGTCAATTTCTTAGCAGGAACCACTCAAGACTATCATCGAAGTACCACGCATAAAGCGATAGAGTACATGAAGAGTTTATTAATTTTATTATGTCATTGATTTCAAGACTAAAAAAGGGATCCCAGGGGGTCTCCCTGTAGAATGTCCTCGACTGAAAGTATTTTTCCGTGTTGAATTCTAAGATTGTTGGAAATTAACAAGAGAAAAGGAATTTGGTGTAAGCATAGAAATGGGAGTAAGTGGAATGTAGGAAGATGTTACAAGAGAGTGTTGCATGCGTTGGAAAAGTCGATATTTACTAAAGCTTTGTTTGTGGGGTGAATTCTTGCTAAGTGTACTGCAACCTCATAATCACCGGGTATGCTCACCCAATTGGTATGGACTGAGGATGTGTGATGCCTCATGTTTGATTCTTGTATGATTTAATTTTGCTACCAATCTGCGATAAGTTGAACCAATGGCGATGAGTCGGATGTCCTTGTTATATTTTTGGGGAGCGATGAGTCTGGCACAGGTTATAAAACTTGGTACATCTCCATTTAAGATTTTATTGCATAAGTTGGTAATTTTATCTGTATTATCAGCCCTCTAGGTTCTAACAACTTTATATTTTATAAATTTGCAGCAATCCTTCTAACTCCTCATGAAAAATATTTTTGTCTAGATGTTTGCTATCAAAGTGAGATGAAAATCAGTGATCATTTTTTTCTCACTTGTTTCTCCATTACACTCAATATGCTCACAAAACGAGACTTAGTTTAAGAGTTTTGAATAAAAATAATTAATTTTAAGAAGCAGTTGAAATAATTCATAGTTCATCGTTAATGGATAAAGAATAATATAATTTCGCGATAATTAATGTGGAATAGCGAATGCAAAACTTAAAGGATCGATGAGTAAAACAGAGGAGAATAAGTATACACCCTAGCACTAATAAGAATCCAAAAATTGATAGGATCAGTTTTAAGAGTTTAATTGAATAAACTTTTAAAAGGCATATAATATTGCTGTTTTACAGTATACAAAAAGTCACGAGGGGATTAATAATAATATAATAGCGATAAAAAAAAAGGCTGGCGAGATTTAAAAGATTAATAATTAAAACTGAGGAGAAAAAGAAAGTATACACAATACCAGCGTCTACATGACAGGATTTTCACTGGATGCAAACTCCCTTCAAAAACCTTTGCCTACCCCGCTAAAAAATCGCCACCTTCGGCGGCGGTGTCTCTTTATCATTATTTTCACCTATTTATTTATTGATACTCTTTTCAAAGAATTTATAAAGGATAACTTAAATTAATCTATATCTACTATCAACTATCTATATTTTGTGAATATATAGAATTTATTTTTTAGATAATAAATTCAATTAAAACCTCCATTATTTACAATGAATTAGTTATTATTGCATTATGAGCTTGCTAAAATATATAAACCTTTTAAATTACATTTAAAAGGATATTATTTGGAAAACAATGTGAATGAATGTTTGCAATATATAGATTTGGTCGATGAATTGTATTATAATAATACTATAATAAAAGTATAATTTTTACAGCAATAAATTTTGTCCTATTTCATCTCAAAATTTAATAGATAACCCCCCAAAAAATTTATCCTACCCCCATTAAAGCAGCTTACCCCCTCAAAAAATAGCATGCAAACTGTTCCTACCCCTCCCGCTCATGTAGACTCTGCACAATACCACCAATAAAAATCCGATCAATTGATATACTCAAAATAAGAGTTAATTAAATAATAATAATTAATTTCTAAAAAGTTCAGAGTTCATCGCAAATGGATTAAGAATAATATAATAATGGCGCGATAAATAAAGCACAATTTCAAATGCGAAATAAAAAAAGGGTCTATGATTGAAACTAAGAGGACGCATGGACATTATCATAAATAAGGATTTTATGCAGCGTCTACATGGCAGAAATTGATGAAGGCCAACCCTGCCCCCTACAAAATCTACCCCTACCCCCTAAAAAATTTATAAGAGCCGCGATATTTGCTAAACCAAGATGCTATAGTTATATTAATAAAAAAAAATCTTATAATAAGCTACCATTTATAATCTCACAACAAAATTTTTGTTACATCCTTCCAGGCCTATTAAGGCTGGGAAAAACAATTAAATCTCTAATTCTTGTTTATAATCAATTGGAAATCGAAAAGCTGTTTGTGTCACTCCATTGGGATTGATCATTGAATGAAAAGAAAATATAATATGGCAATTGGATGTTTGCTAACTATTAAATAAGGAAAATAGTTAAAATTTGTTTACCTATCGAAAATCTTATTTTTAATAATATTATTTCCAGTATTTTGTTAAAATTTTTAATGATTTATTATATTCTTACTAAAATTTATTATTAAAATTACATATATGTTAACCTCTATACCTTTAGAAAATTAACAAATAAGAATTATTAATATTTTACGCGTGAAATTGTAAAATATTATAGTAAAATAATTATTAAGAAGGTTTAAAATTTAAAATTTAAAAAGAAAAAATTCATAGTTTTTTTATTATAAATTAGCAATTGTTTTAATTATTGAATTTAAAAAGAATATAATTCAAGTTAAAAACTACACCCCCCCCCCCCCACCCTCCAAATCAATGCCTACAAATATTAACCCTCAATAATTTATACCACAAATGCCGATATATTTTGGAGACATTTCTCTCCTACCCAAACCGGCCATGTAGGCACTGATAATGAATTGATATGCTCAGTATAAGAAATTTTTAAAAATATTTATTAAATATTATAAATTTATTATTTTTAAAAAAAAATTGATTTAGAACGAATTTATAAATTTAAAAAGTAAAAAATGTTAGTTTTAAAATTTATATATCTCATGAAAAATAAATATATTTACTTCACAATACCTTTCTTAACATTAATGTATTAAGATATAATCGTCCTACAATTATAAAAACCTCGAGGCAGTTGCATCTTAATACATAGCTTGCAAAAAGTAAATCAGTTTTGAACAGAGGGCTGCAAATAAAATTATTCCATTCCCCTTTTCTGCCTTTATTGGATGCTATATCTGCAGAATGAACATTTGACTTTCTCTATGATTGAACTCTATTTAAAATTTTATTATGAGTGTCGTATCAAAATTTGATGAATCTGACTGGGATATGACAGCAACACGTTATCCTTAAAAAATTAATATAGAATATAGTATTCTGAATATGGGGTCTAAACAAACTCCTTCTGAATTTTTAAAACAAATTGTTGGCAGACCGGTTGTTGTAAAACTTAACTCAGGTGTTGATTATAGAGGTTATACATATTAGTTGTTATATATAATAGAATTTATTAGGTATTTTAGCCTGTTTAGACGGTTATATGAATATAGCTTTAGAACAGTCAGAGGAATATTGTAATGGACAACTTAAAAATAAATATGGAGACGCGTTTATTCGAGGGAATAACGGTTTTTAATAATTAAATCGAAATATAAATTATTATATAATGGTGTCATTAAAAACGATATAACATAAGGATTAATTTAAATATCTTTAGGCATTTAATTAATGCTAAGAATCTTTTTTAAATTTAATTTTGTTATTATTTAACATAGTAAATATTAATGCTTAATTTATTCTTATAAATTGTTTATTTATATCTTAGTTCTATACATCAATGTTCAAAAGAAATGAAAAAGCCTACAAATTAATATTAAATTATGCTAAATATTTTGATAATTTAATTATTTTTGAATCATAATATATTTTTTTATAAGAGCGGATATAATTATAAATAAAGACTAATTCATTTGATTTAGATAGAAATAATACTATAATCAGTTGAAATTATTATCATCAGGGTATTTTTCAATTTACAATGAGGTGGTAAACAGTAAATTTGAAAATTAAAAAAAACATAAGCTAAAATTAATTTTAAATCTCAAGATTTAAGAATTAAACTTGATATAAAAATGGTCTCTTAAGTGATATTTTGTCAAAATATACTATTTAGAAATATTTTTTAAATAAAACTGTAATAAATTTTTAATATTTACCTACATTATTATAATAATGATGTAACAAGGATTATATTTATCAGAGACATAAATTTAACATTTTTGATTCTACTTGGATTTGAAAAAATTCCCAAGACCCAGGCTGGTTAAAACAAACTCAGGAACAAAATTCCCAGGAAAAAAAATCATCTCAGCAAAATAATCCCAAGGAAAAAAATTCCACAACTAAAATATTTAAAAATATTGAGAAAATCATCAAAAAAAAATTGAAAAATATATTCCTGAAAAAATTTCCCAAATAAATTTGTTAACCAAAATTATAAATAGTGAAAAGTGGTTAATTAAACTTAACCCAATTTTTAAAATATTATTAATTTACCCTAAACCATATAATGTGTAATGTTATAGTCTTATCCTGAACCCAGTTTTTGTGAAAATTAAGCAAAAATTATAAATAAACTAAGGCTTAACCATAACATACCTCTAATTTAAATTACCTGCTGGATGCATAGTTTCTCTGATATAAAGCAAAATATTATCATAAGCTAACTAACTATAATAATTAGGAATGTACGGATTGGATCTGGCCGATATTTCACCCATTTTAAAATATCGGCTATCGGCAAATATGAAATTTTATGATCCGATAAAAAATGGCGCTTTTAACAAAAATAAAATTTTTTTAAATAAAATCGAAATCCATTTTTATTTTGTTTAATTTTTTTAATAGTAATAATTAGTTAATAAACATTCTGCCATATTGTTACTTTTTTTCGCATTCTGTTTAAAAAAATGTGCAATAATCTTTTCAAAATCTGTTTTTAATGATGCTAGTGATATTGACAGTCCCCATCACTGCAGACTGATCTCTGATAAATTGGAAATATTGGTATTTCTAAAAAGAAATCTTCATTATATTAATTTTAAATATTTATTTCAAATTTCATAATATATTTGTTTATTACTAATTATGTAAATAGATTAATGTTATTACTTACTATATAAATAAGTGATTTATCAATAAAAATATTTTATATACTTTTAGAATTGGAATTGAGTTGAATATAAACTAATGGATCATTACAATATATTTAAATGTCATATGTTATGGTATAGTTAAATTATAGATGTTATACTATAAAAAGTATATTAAAAATTAAAACCATTGGTATTTTTACAGAATACAAAATTAGATATATCAATTTAATATCGGATCGGCCTCCAATAAGTGGTATCAGTAGGTACACCCCTAATAATAACCAAGTCTGGATTTTTAAATTATAAAGATCCACCCAGATTTTTAAAATCATACTATTTTTGGTCCAAACTTAAACATGAAATTTGTTTTTTTTAAATAATCAAAAGAGAATTAATTTTGGTGTGTACCTTTAAAATTTTTCCCCAACTTTTAGATATTTTTTAACTTTTTGATGTATAAAAATAATTTTGATAAAGAGAAAATAAAGATCTTTTGTTTTTGTATAAAATTAATATATTTTTATAAATAAGGATATTAAAAATTTTATCAGATCAAAGTAGGTTCGGGTCCGCTCTAATATCAAAAAGACAAATAAGCTAAAATGGCCCCTATAAGTTTGAAGCGAGAGATTTAAAAAATATTAAAGGTTACAGTCCGCAATTACTATTATTAAAAAATGTTAAAAAAGCAAATAAGCTAAAATGGCCCCAATAAGTTTGAAGCGAGAGATTTTAAAAAATATTTAAAATTTAACTTTTACAGATTAGACAGATTTTACTATTTAAGTAAATTATTTAAATTAATTTAATATAAATAAAAATTTATTAATATAAATATTAGAAAATATATAATTCTAATATTAATTAGTTTTATATATTAATAATATAATATAATATTATAAAAAATTTATATATTAATAAATACATAGTATAATATAATTTTAAATTTTAATATATTTAATATTAAATTAGATATAAAGAAAATTATGTAAATTAATAAATGTATTAAATTGTAAGATTATAAGATTTTATTATAATATAATAATTAATATTATTTACATATTAATATAATTTATTTAATATACTTGTAATATATATTGCATATTTTAATATACTTGTAATATATATTGCATATTTTAATATTATTGATATATTTAATATAATTAATTTATAATGAAATAATAAATAGAATTTATTCAATATTATATGTATTTTTTTAAATAATTTATATTAGATGATATTAAAACAATTTTCTTCTGCATTAGAGAACTTATCTATTTAATAATAGAACAATAGATTAATTTTTTTGAAATATTTATTCTAAAAAAATAACCAAGAATGGGAAAACTAGTAGCCATTTACTTACATCGTTTTCTGAATATAATTTCATGAGACTTGTAGATGGGTAGAAAATAAATTTTATTTCTATAAATATCCTATTTACTCATATATTTTAATTTTTTTTGTTATTTCTAATGATCAATGGGATCGTTAATTATTTTTTTATTAACTCGATAAATAAAATTTTTATAGTAGGTATTTATACTTATTATTCCTTCAAATATCTTATTTACTCAAATTTTTCTTGAGATTTCTAATAATTAATGGGATCGTTAATTTTTTTTATTGGAACTCTATAAATAAAATTTTTATAGTAGGTATTTATACTTATTATTCCTTCAAATATCTTATTTACTCAAATTTTTCTTGAGATTTCTAATAATTAATGGGATCGTTAATTTTTTTATTGGAACTCTATAAATAAAATTTTTATAGTGGGTATTTATACTTATTATTCCTTCAAATATCTTATTTACTCAAATTTTTCTTGAGATTTTTAATAATTAATGGGATCGTTAATTTTTTTTATTCGAACTCTATAAATAAAATTTTTATAGTGAGTTATTATACTTATTATTCCTTCAAATATCTTATTTACTCAAATTTTTCTTGAGATTTCTAATAATAAATAGGATCGTTAATCTTTTTTTTTATTGGAACTCTATAAATAAAATTTTTATAGTGGGGTATTTATACTTATTATTCCTTCAAATATCTTATTTACTCAAATTTTTCTTGAGATTTCTAATAATTAATGGGATCGTTAATTTTTTTTTTATTGGAACTCTATAAATAAAATTTTTATAGTGGGTATTTATACTTATTATTCCTTCAAATATCTTATTTACCCAAATTTTTCTTGAGATTTCTAATTATTAATGGGATCGTTAATTTTTTTATTATTGGAACTCTATATATAAATTTTTTATAGTGACTATTTAAACTTATTATTCCTTCAAATATCTTATTTACTCAAATATTTTTGTCATTTCTAATATGGGATCGTTAATTTTTTTTTATTGGAACTCTATAAATAAAATTTTTATAGTGGGTATTTATACTTATTATTCCTTCAAATATCTTATTTACTCAAATTTTTCTTGAGATTTCTAATAATTAATATTATCGTTAATTTTTTTTTTATTGGAACTCTATAAATAAAATTTTTATAGTGAGTATTTATACTTATTATTCCTTCAAATATCTTATTTACTCAAATATTTTTGTTATTTCTAATATAAGATCGTTAATTTTTTTTTATTGGAACTCTATAAATAAAATTTTTAAAGTGGGTATTTATACTTATTATTCCTTTAAATATCTTATTTACTCAAAATTTTCTTGAGATTTCTAATAATTAATGGTATCGTTTATTTTTTTTATTGGAACTCTATAAATAAAATTTTTATAGTGAGTATTTATACTTATTATTCCTTCAAATATCTTATTTACTCAAATTTTTTTGTTATTTCTAATATGGGATCGTTAATTTTTTTTCTTACTAAGAACTCTATTAAAATTTTTATCGTAAATATTTATATAATATAATTATGGCTACAAATGAATATTTCTTTTTATTTCAAGTGCATAATTTGACAACACAAAATATTAAATTATTATTGATTATAAATATTTTCTGAAAATTCGCGAATATAATTTTATTTATTCATGCCTGTGTAGACAATATTAAAAATGTATTTTATAAGAATTTAATTACATATATATATATCAGGAATAAAAAAAATAATTTTATATTAGTGCGCGAAACAATAATATAAACGTAGAATATGAATGAAAAATTGAGTAATAAAGAGCTGCAATATAATGATTTTTAAAAATATAGTAAATATCTTAATTGATAATAAAGAGCTGCAATATGATATTTATAAAAGCTTGTAAATTGAGCAATAAAGAGCTGCAATATAAGATATTTAAATATAAAATAAATATACTTTTACTGTAATTTAGCTTAATTGATAATAAAGAGCTGCAATATAATAAGATTTTTAAACATTATAGTAAATATACTTTTACAGTTATTTAGCCAATAAAGAGCTGCAATATGATATTTATAAAAGCTTGTAAATTGAGCAATAAAGAACTGCAATATAAGATATTTAAATATAAAATAAATACACTTTTACTGTAATTTTGTTTAATTGGTAATAAAGAGCTGCAATATAAGATTTAAATATAAAATAAATATACTTTTACTGTAATTTTGCTTAATTGATAATAAAGAGCTGCAATATAATAAGATTTTTAAACATATGTAGTAATACCAACTACTAATTTATAAACAATACGACTACTAATTTATATTTCAATTTATTTTTAATATCAAATTTATATTAATTAATTTTCGAGTATTCTATTCTATTTTTATATATACTATAAATAATATTTTACTAATTTATTACATTTCCTTCAAACATTTTAAAGTTAGATTTCACCTCTAAACGATTTCTTAACTGATCT